GGGGGGGGGGGGGGGGTGTTGAGGGTAGTCTTTCTGGGGGTGGGGGTCAGCACCTAAATTAGGAATTTTGATGCCGAAGACTTTTTCACCACCGCCATACATAACAATAAATTCATTCTGGTATTGGATCCCCCTGAGGAGATGCTTCTAGCTCCAGCTGAGTTTCGTCCCTAGAATCTTTATAGTCACCAAAGTAAAATAACATTACTGTTACGCACTGCCTTCTATAGTTAGAAATTGATCTCTTAGCTTAAGTTATTGGCTCGTTCTTAGCAGTGCCTAACAAAGGACGATACCATAGTGAAATACAATATCAATGATACGACACCCAAAACAGTACCACTTACGATTAATAAGATTTATTAAAGTATTAATATAATTAAAAAATAAAAGAAATATAATTAAAATCATCAACTTGCAGATTACGGGAAGTCTTTTATCGGTACACAGCTACTGCAATGTGCCACAAAAATAAGGTACACTGATGAATGCTTATAAACACATATGAGTACACAAAGAATAATACACTTGTCTCGTGAAGTGAAAAATATCTATCAATCCATCTCCCTCAAGCTCTGAATCCCCTTTGATACTTATGCGTCGGTAGAACCAACGCTTCGTAGAAATGTCTTCTACATTGTTTATCTTTCTAGTCAAGTATCGAAGTTTCCCCAAACTTCTATTAGAATATATTAGTTATTTTAGTTGATAGGTGTGGGAAAACAACGGCTAAGATGAAAGAAAATAGGCCACGCCCAATACGAACGCCGTCTAATGTGGGGTCAACCAGAGTTCACGGCACAGGGAAAGTGTGACGTAAACTCGTCCAACATAACAATCACAATTTAGTCCGTTACAAAAAAAAATAATCATGTTATTTAATTACATCCAGTAATTTTTTTAAAGATTAAAATGTGTCGGTACTGCCACTTTAATTGGGGAGGGAGCATCGATTGAGGGCGGAGAAAGATACTGTGGGTAAGGTTTGGAGACAGGGTTCAGTAAGCCCCTTCCCAGAACATTTCTGATCAATTCAAAATGATTCGGATTCATTTTGGCGCATGCCTGAACTTAGTTTTCCCTAATTCTAAACTTGACCGGCTAGAAACAGAAGAGATGCTAGTTGAACTTTAGGTTCTCTTGACTTAGTTTTCCCTAATTCTAAACTTGACCGGCTAGAAACAGAAGAGATGCTAGTTGAACTTTAGGTTCTCTTGACTTAGTTTTCCCTAATTCTAAGCTTGACCGGCTAGAAACAGAAGAGATGCTAGTTGAACTTTAGGTTCTCTTGACTTAGTTTTCCCTAATTCTAAACTTGACCGGCTAGAAACAGAAGAGATGCTAGTTGAACTTTAGGTTCTCTTGACTTAGTTTTCCCTAATTCTAAACTTGACCGGCTAGAAACAGAAGAGATGCTAGTTGAACTTTAGGTTCTCTTGACTTAGTTTTCCCTAATTCTAAACTTGACCGGCTAGAAACAGAAGAGATGCTAGTTGAACTTTAGGTTCTCTTGACCATGCATGGGTTACATCATTCCTTTTTATTTTTAGTTGCTTCTAAATAATAATGTTGTTTCATAATTGTCCTTGAAAATGTTTATTTTTTTCAATTTTAACTAATTCATCAATGAACAAATATGAATAACAGTTTTTTTTTTTTTAAAACATCGGTCAAAACATGTGAACGTTAATTTAAAAACAAAAAACAAAAGAAAGACGAACGATCTATTAGTAATTCCTGTTAATACAATAATTATTATTTTTATATTTAATTAAAAACTTAAGTAGGTTTTCCCGAAATTTAAAGTAACGAAAATTGCGACAATATATATATATTTGTAGAAAAGGTCTAAAAGGTACTTGTTGAGAGATAAAAGGAAAGAGAGAGAGAGAGATGAGGGGAGGGATGGGTGGTGAGCTAAATAGAGTGAGAGAGGGTTGAGGGAGGAGATGGGTGGAGAGATAAAAGAAATGAGAGAGAGAGAGAGAGAGTTGAAGAGCTAAAGGGAGAGGGGGTGAGAGACTTGAGGGAGGGGATGTGTGGAGGAATAAAGGGAGAGAGAGAGTTGATCTTCGAGTTGGAGAGATAAAGGGAGGGTCAGAGTGAGAGAGAGAGAGAGACATAAGAAAGTGATTAAATGTTTTTCTTTATGTAAAATCAATACGGTTCTAATCAGACCAGGCTCATGTGTAATCGAACTACAAAGTGATGGCTGCTGGCTAGTGACCAGTGGCCAGTTGCGGATAGTGAACGCGGTACTATGAACATTGTGATATTTTACAAAGTACATACCAAACAGATTATATTTTAACGATGTCATCAGACATAATTCTCTGCTCCACTATGAAATTCCGTTATTATCAACTGTTCTTTTTTTTTTTTCATAGATCACTGGAGGGTTTCAAACGACCCCTCCCCACAAAACCAATAATAATTAAATTGTTTCAGAACCTGTTAAGGGGACACTTGGTTTAAAAAAAAAAATTTAAAAAAATAAAAAAAAAAGATTTTCTAAGATGTACCGTTGAGCTTTTGAAAAAAACGATGTTATATAACAGAGTTGTGTTGTACATAGGCTTCTGGTTTACTCCTTTGACAAGATGAGGGTTTATAAAGGTATCTACAAAATGTTGAGGGGATTTATTTTCTATCAAAGAGAAATCGGGGGAGAATCGGGAAACTCCCTTGACAAGCGGCATCTGAAAGTTATCTTCATAATATACATGGAGGTGACTTATTTTCTGGAAATATAAATGAACAATATCCCGTGGCTCTTCTTTTGGAGTAAAAACGACGTTCAGTTTGAGGTGACAGTCGTATTTCCATCTCCAGGAATGAACATTTCATTGTTTCATTCGCTGGAAAGTCAATCCATTGGTTTCTGAGCCCATCCAAAGTTTAGGAAGCCAATATCATAGGTCTATAAGCCCATATCATAGGTCTGTAAGCCCATATTATAGGTTTGTAAGCCCATATCATAGGTCTGTATGTCCGTATCATAGGTCTGTAAGCACATATCATAGGTCTGTAAGTCTATATCATAGGTCTGTAAGCCCATATCATAGGTCTATAAGCCCATATCATAGGTCTGTAAGCCAATATCATAGGTCTGTAAGCCCATATCATAGGTCTGTAAGCCCATATCATAGTTCTGTAAATCCGTATCATAGGTCTGTAATCCCATAATCATAGGTCTGTAAGACCATATCATAGGTCTGTAAGTCCGTATCATAGGTCTGTAAGCCCATATCAAAGGTCTGTAAGCCCATATAATAGGTCTGTAAATCCGTATCATAGGTCTGTAATCCCATAATCATTGGTCCGTAAGTCCATATCATAGGTCTGTAAGTCCATATCATAGGTCTGTAAGTCCGTATCATAGGTCTGTAAGACCATATAATGGTCTGTAAGTCCTTATCATAGGTCTGTAAGTCCATATCAAACGTCTGTAAGCCAATATCATAGGTCTGTAAGCCCATATCATAGGTCTGTAAGCCCATATCACAGGTCTGTAAGCCCATATCATAGGTCTGTAAGCCCATATAATAGGTCTGTAAGTCCGTATCATAGGTGCCTAATCCCATAATCATAGGTCTGTAAGCCCATATCATAGGTCTGTAAGTCTATATCATAGGTCTGTAAGTCCGTATCATAGGTCTGTAAGCCCATAATCA